CTGGATACAAAGTCAACACTCAAAAGTCAATAGGCTTCTTATATTCAAATAACAGACTCATGGAGAGAGAAATTAGAGAAACAATCCCTTTCACAATAACAGCCATAAAATGAAATACCTAGGAATCAATCTAACGAAGGAAGTAAAAGACCTCTACATTGAAAATTATAGGGCTAGGGATTTAGCTCAGTGGTACCACACCTACCAAAAAAACCTACAGTACTCTGAAAAAGAAGATTGAAGAGGATATCAGAAAATGGAAGGATAGAGGCAACCCACTTTCCAGTCCCCCTCTTTCTTAGACCAGAAGCTTTCTTTCTCTCAATAAATTTTTCCTACTCGTAAAAAAAAAAAAAAAAAAAAGAAAAAAGAAAATGGAAGGATATCCCTTGTTCTTGGATAGGAAGAACCAATATAGTGAAAATGGCCATACTTCCAAAATTGTTATACTGATTCAATGAAAGCCCAATCAAAATCCCAACAGCACATCTCACAGAATTAGAAAAAACAATCCCAAAATTCATTTGAAACCAGAAGAGACCTAGAAAACCAAAGACAATTCTGGGCCACAAAGGCAAAGCAGGGGGTATCACAATCCCTGACTTTAAATTATACTACAAAGCTATGGTGATAAAAAACAGCATGGTACTGGCAAAAGAACAGACCTGAGGATCAATGGAACAGACTAGAGGATGCAGAAACAACTCCAGATATACTCAACCACCTTATCTTTGACAAAGGAGCCAGACACCTTTTCTGGAAGAAAGATAGCCTCTTTAATAAATGGTGCTGGAAAAACTGGCTTTTCACTTGCCAAAGATTGAAATTAGACCCCTAACTTTCACCATGCACTAACCTAAAAATGAAATGGATCAAAGATTTAAGCATTAAAACAAAACCACTAAATCTGCTGGAAGAGAGAATAGGTAGAATGCTTGAGGACATAGGAATAGGCAAAGACTTCAAGAACAAAACCAAGATCGCATGAGAAATACTAGAAAGAACAACTGGGACCTCATCTTAGTAAAAAGCTTTTGCACAGCAAGAGACACCACCAACAGAGTGAAGAGACAACCCACAGAGTGGGAAAAATTTTTTACCAGCTATTCAGATAAAGGATTATTATCTAGAAGAACTGAAAAAAAGAAAAAAACCAAACCCTCTAAATTTAAAGACCCAATGCAAAAATGGGCATCTGAAGTAAAAAGACACTTCTCAGATGAAGAATTAGAAACGGCAAATAAATATATGAAAAAATGTTCAACATCACTGGTCATTCAAGAGATGCAAATTAAAACAACGCTGAGATTCCACCTCACCCCACAAAGAATGGCTGTTATCAAGAAATCAACCAATAACAAATGGTGGAGGGACTGTGGGCAAAAAGAAACCCTTCTCCACTGCTAGTGGGAGTTTAGACTGGTGCAACCACTGTGGAAATCAGTGTGGAGATCTCTCAAAGAACTAAAACTAGTGGTTCCTTTTGACCTAGCTATACCTCTTCTTGGTATCTTCCTGAAAGAATTAAAAACACCATACCACAGCAATATATGTGCACCCATGTTCATAGCAGCACAGTTTGTAATAGCTAAATCTGGGAAACAGCCCAAATGCCCATCAACTGATGAGTGGATGAAGAGGTGGATTTTTTTATACAATGGAATACTACTCTGCCATAAAGAAGGATGAGCTTCAGCTATTTATAGCTAACTGGATGGCCCTTGAGTCCATACTCTTAAGAGAAATAAATTTGACACAAATGTTTAAATCCACATTGTTTCTCTGGCGTGAGAAACTGAATGTGGAAATAAGGACTGAGATGTATAATGAATGTTGGGAAATGGGAAGAAAGTGTTCAAATGGGAAGAGGAATAAGGGAGGCAGGGAGGAAGTGACAAGAAAAAAAGTGAAAATAGAAGGAAAAAAATGGAAACAAAGCTTTTGTACATAGGGAGGGAAGGAGGCTTGAGGGGGGAGTAGGATAAAATAAAATTTATTTTAAAAATTTTTTTAAAAATTTAAAAATCTATAAGACAAGTGGGTATGAGAACACAGTTGAACCATATTGACATATTTACAGATGAAGAAACATGAGGCCTTCGATTTACTACAAAATAATCCAGGCTTGGGGCAGGGACACAGACAAAATAAGATTGGTTGCGATTAATCAGTGTTTTATTGGGATGGTGGTTACATGGAAATCTATTAGAGGATTCCCTCTACCTTTTTATATGTTTAAAATTTTCTAAAAGAATATTCTTAATGAATGATATGGACGAACTGAACCATGTCAACCCCTGAGTTTGTCACAATACTTAAGAAAATAGGCACCTATAGAGCAGTTTTTCAACCTCAGTATTACTGACATTTGGGATCAGACAGTTCTTTGTTGTGGGGCAGCTGTACACACTAGAATGCTCAGCTGCACCTCTAGCCTCTTACTTATTGGATGCCAGTACCACACCCCCTTTAGTTGTAACAACCAAAATGCCTCCAGATATTTTTGGCCCTCTAGGGGTATCTCCCTCAATCAAATGAGTAATACTGCTTTGAGGATGCTAGAGAAGCAACTCATAATTCTGTGAACTGTCAAACAGAGCCAATTCTCATTATTCATAGTAATTATGTTCTATAAAGTTGCAGTAAAAAGTGAAATACTGAATTCTGAATTAATAGAAAATAATAGCTTAGGTCCTTGCAACTTTATAATTATGTACTTTTATCCAATAAATAACTTCACTCTATGTGTGTTTTTGTTTAAAACATTTTCTTTACATTGTTTAACTTGTAGTCAGCTGCAATATTACTCATACCTAAACAAAGCCTAACATGTGTTTTCTCTGTAAGGCATATGAATGCCTTCTTGCACTCAGGTACACTACACAGCACTTTCACACCATTTGTGGAGGCCATTTTAAACTATAAAACCAGCAAACACCATAAAAATGTAAAAATTCATGGCACTAAATAGACTATGAAAAGGATACTGTTATGGATTTTATCTAGATGTTCCCTCAAAGCCTCATGTGCTCATAGGTAGGGCTTTTTGAAGGTAGTTAGATCTAGGGTGTGTGAATGGGAATTAAGAATGTGTGAATATGGATTAAGAGTGTGATAACTAAAGTAGTCCACTGATTGGTTTAGTGTAGTTCTGGGTGAGGATAATGGGAAGGCCCTCCCTGGGTGTATGTAGGTGGTACCACCCAAAAGACTTGTTGCCTAAATAGATAACAGGGAAAGGGAGGCTTGCTGCTGCTGCTTCACTGCTTACTGCTTGCTGCTTTCTGCCTGCTCTGCCATGGACTCTTTCTCCTCTATGATGCCCCTCTGCCATGCCATGCTGTTTTGGAGCCAGCTGACTATGGACTGACCTCTACAAATTGTGAGCTAAAATAAAATTTTCCTCCTTCAACTTGTAGGTGTAAGGTATTTTGTCTCAGTAACAAGAAAAGTATCTCAGTTACTGTAATATGAGAGCTAAACTGAGATAGAGTATTCCCTCTGCTTTAGTCTCTGCTGAGAATAGAGGCAAAGAGTTGGTTACTTTTTTTAACAGCTCTGGATATGTCCATGAATGCTGTGGAAGCACTACGATTATTGATTTGGGTGTCACAGATAAATTTTAGTCAGTGCATGATTTTGCAAATTTGAAATCCATATGAGTAGGACTGGCCCATATAGGGGAAAAATCATTACTTGGCCTACCTGTTTTGTGTAAACTGTACCTCAGGTTAACCAATCAATTGATGAGAAAAAGGTTTTCTATAGAACAAAGTTCCACTTAATAAACAGAGGAGGAATGAAAGGTTTAGAAAGAATGTCACTATTTTGCAGCCTTACTGAAAAATAAGGAATACAGGCAATACAATGTACCCTTGACTTATAAACTCAATTTGTTCACAAGGGCTGATTGTAACTCAAGTTGGTCAATTGAAGGCTCAGGCTCCTCTACACAGCCTTTAAAGTCTCTTCCCTGTATACAGGCAGATCTCAGTGTCCTCAGACATTGGCCAAGGATTTCTCAATTAAAACCCCACACAGGAAAGGATGTTGTAATGTTCCTTCCAGAACTTTCTAAGGGTTAAATCTGTATCTGAAACCATCTGGAAGCACAAGAGTGTCCAGCAGCATTGGGTCAATTTTACTTTCTTCATAAGTTAAAACTAAAATTCTGGACATAACCCAAGTTGTCTGTATGTCAGGCTGGTCATAACTCAAGGGTCCACTGTAATCATCAATGGTTGTTGATACCAGTCAGTGAAAGGCAGAGTGGCCTTATGATGGATGAATCTGGCTATCGACACAAGAACCAAGTGATTACTTTTTAATGGCACAAAAACAAAGTCAAAATTTCATGTCTCCTATTGTGATAAATGTAGAAGCACAAAATATCACCTATGAAGAATTCTCACCAAAGATATAGCTGAATCCAAGGAAAGCCTAGAAAAGGACAACTGTCTGCCATGTGTGCACAGGCTGAGCATGTGGAGGACATATTAAGTAGAAGAAACCTTGAGAGGCTTCCATTAGAAGCAGGAAAGGTAAGGAGGCTCTAAACCACTTCCTAAGTGAAAATATAGGAAAATGGGCAATTGCTAGAAAAAGGAATAAATGGGCACAGTGAGGACAAGAGGGCCTATTATATTTTCATTAAACACCCAGTATTTTTAGACAATTCTCCTTTTACCTGCAAAAATCTCTTTCAAAATGATCATGAGAAAAATAGCAACAAAACTAAGAAATCACAGAGATTGCTTTAGGGGATGGGATAGAGATGGAAAGCAAGGACAGGAGAGTTATACAAGGTATTATATAACTTCTTTCAGAGTGAAACATTTTTATGGGATGATTAGATGTTAACAAGGAAAAGCTACACAAATTCAGACAAAAACTACACAAGTTCTACAAAGCACTGAAAATATTTTAGTGCAAAGTATGTTCTGACTAAAAGGTTCCAAAGAATGAAGGAGAGCCCAAATGAAACTATTAGTTGTAATTACCTTGCATGAGGGTTGGAGCCTGCAGCATCTGCTTGTAGTAGGAGTAATACAATCCACATTCTGTTCTGAATGAGATTTCTCGCTCCACTTCCTGAAACAGAGTTAGATCAACTGGGTTTACATGACCTAGTTTTATTTCAATATGTATTGTTACTGTAGAAACAGGATATAGAACTACAGTTTAAAAGAGAAAAAGCTGACAATACAGTTTACAGTTTCAAGAATATAGTCTCAAGAAATCTTTTTTTTCTTTTGGTTTTTATCCATTTTATTTTTGGTTTGTAAGACAGACCTCATTATATAGTTCAGCCTGTCCTTGAACTCACTATGCAGTGATCCTTGTCGAGGTGATCCCCCTGCTTCATCCTCTTGAGCACTGAGGTTGTAGGTACGTGCTACCAACTTGGCTCTCAAGAAATCTTGACAAACAAGAACCACAGCAGGATAACTGCTGAAGTTGGGTGGATACCTGAGAGCATGTTATACTATTCTCTCTACTTTTGTGAATGTTTACATTTTCCATAATAAACAATTTTTTAAAAAGTGGAGATAATTAGTAACTAATTCCATTTAAGTTGTTTTAAAGTAAGTGCTTTGCTTTTATTTCACAGAAAACTAAATTTTAAGAAATTAAAAAGAAAACACATCACTATTCTCAAGTAATATTAGTGACACACCAAACAGGCATATTATAAACAAAAAACCTCCCAAATGAAAAGTACTATAATTTCATTCGATACCTGTATAAAGGGTAGCAACATTATAGGTCAATAATTTTCTTTTTATTCTAAGAATATAAAGTATTTAGACCTTCCACATGAATTTTACTTTGACCAGTGTAACCCTGTTGGAAAGATGTTCATGTGGGTAAATGGATACATGAAATATTTCAACTGCTTTCGGATAGGGACTAAACACTTAAAGTAATGGCTATGAGTCAGTTTGGTTGCAAGATGCCTTTATTAACACCAAATAAGGAGGCAATGGGTAATGAAGATGAAGAGGATTTTCTGGAAGAATTCTGTTCATACTTAGACGGTATATTTGATACACATGTAAAAGTATTAGTGAATAAAAAGCTATAATCTTTGTCATGATAGATTCTTTTACCCAATTCTTCCAAAAACCAGGTCCTAGAATCTCTAGTACACGGTCTAAATGTAATGTCTTCTATGTCTTTTCCTATCACAGCAGATCCACACTCCGTAAACACAACTGAACTGAGGGAGGACGATAAACGCTGAGCATCCCACTTCTGAACCAATGAACTCCTTTTAGCACATCTTTGTTTTCCCCTTCCTCTCATGGTTTTCAAATAGTGATAAACATTTCATTAAAAGAACTACTCATGCTATTCATCTTCAGTCCTGGAAATTATTTCATGTATTTCCCCTACCCTTTAAATATTTCTCCTGTCCTTTAAAGATATTATAAATCACAAAGAAAGCATTGAAGAAATATTCTCTTAATTATTTAAAAGTGCAAACATCCAATTACTGGCTCCAAAAAACAAATTATTAATTCACTCCTATTAGAAACATGGGTGGGGAGGGGTGAGGCAGCAAACTTTTTTATATATTGAATTTCCTTTCACAGAAACAAATTTATCTTGGGGAATTGAGCATTTTAAAAGGCCCCTGAGGTTCTGAAATTTAATTAGCACACTTGCTTTTAAAAAGGACAATACAGGATAGGACAGCTTTTCTAGTTTCCGTAGTTGCTACTGATGTGTGCTGTCTTTTACAAGAGTAAAGGCAGCTTTTCTTTGTCATTATGTTACCTCCAGTCATCTTTAATCTTGGAGAAAAACTGCTCTATTACTTCTTATAGAAAAGATCCAAACTGGCATCACCTGTTTCTGGAATGTTCAAATTCCTACTTGGTCATATAATCATAGAGGCTATGAATTGACCTTAGCTGAGCAAATATTAGCTTTTGTCCATGAAAACGAGAGGGAAAAATACCTTTCAGTTTAATCCTCCTTTCCCCCTTCACTTCTGCCTTAAAATGTTCAAAGTACTACTACTGCCTTCAGTGGAACAGCCTGACATCAAACCTGGAACTCCTGCTGCAGAACTCAATTATTCATCTCCATCTATGGGTTTCACTTCCTATAGTTTTAAGAATAAAACAAAGCACCTTATAAAAATGAGGGGGAAAAACACTGTTTAAAGTTCTAAAAGTAGAAAGCTTCTGTGCCCCACCCCTCTCTTCAATATACCCAGCACAATAAAAACAGAGGGGGATCTAATTAGTAAAAATGCATTCAAACATGATTAATTAGTAATCTTGGCACCAGCTGTATAGAACCAAATGCTATACTTTATTAGACAGACAGTTGCAAGTTTTACATCTGCTTCATGCTAAGAGAACATCTGCTTTACTCAAACACTTTTCCAGTTTTACAGCAATTTATACTTTGCCTGGTGGATCACACCAATGAAAATGTACATCAATGGAAGTTACCGTCTACAGGATGCAAAACGAACAAATACTCCACAATTTAATTTGCATAGGTTCCACAGCGAAAGCAGTATTCGTGGAGAGAATGAAAACATCTTCTCTGAAGATAATGACAGGAAAAAAAAGTGAAAAGATGAACTGTATTTCTAAAGAACTGTGCAAATAATACCATTTAACTAGTAGTTTATATAGTAATTTAAGTACTAAAAGGACAAAGCATCAAGGAAAAAAAAGGCGCTGTTCACAATTAATGATTTGTGTCCCTCACAGGCATTAAGGCAAGTTGCTGGCAACGCACAAAAGGTTAACAAGCCCTTTTAGGAAAATGACACTCAATGCGGTAAGGAAATGCATCAAATTAGCCTTTAAAATCTCATGTAAAAAACTGTTTATAAAAAATTGTCCCCCCAAATAATTAGCATGCTGGTGGTAGGGTATCCAATGTGCAATTAACTTTATGAATGCTATCTGTTTCAGAATTGTGTTAACAAATCATCTCACCAAGAAACAGTAGCTCATGATAAGACAGCTGTTCTTAAAGTTCTGTACTGGGAATCATGCCCTCAGCAAACATATTTATGGCACATACATGGTTTATTGTCTGGTTAAATTCATGTCCATCTGCTAGAATGGAAGGATTCTTGCCCTAGAGTTGATAAAAGCCGTGACACAAGAGCTGCCAGGCGGTGTCTGTGAGGAAGGAAGGCTGCAGCTGAAGTGACAGTACTTCCACTAGGCTTACACTGAAGCAGTCAGCAGTCTTGTGCTACTGATGCAAGTACGGTGTGTATTAACCCTACTTATTCCACAGACTCCTTGCTTTGCAGGAGTATTCAACAGGAAGATATGCACACTCTACAAAGTCAAATAAATAACAGAGCAACAGTGCAAAATATTAGCACAAGGAAAGACTAAGAAGAAACAAGTGACCTAAATGTTTCTAGCAAACGACAATTACCTTTTTCCATCATTTAGTGGAACATTTATTGGCTGAAGAAACAAAAAGAGGTAAAAAGTGAGTCCTTGACCCCAAGGAGTTTATGCCCCAACAAGAAAGAACAATGCAAGTTGGTGCAGTGGCACATGCCAGTAATCCCAGTACTCTGGGAGGCTGCGGCAGGGACTGTAAATTCCAACCCAGTCTGGGCAATTTAGCAACTTAGGGAGACTCTTTCAAAATAAAAAAGGACTGGGAATGCAGTGTCCAGTGTGAAGGCCCTGAATTATTCAGTCCCTAGTACTCAAACAAACAATACACACACACACACACACACACACACACACGTTTGCATGCGCACATAGATACAGATGAAGAGAGGGAGAGAATGCAATACACTGTTAACAAAGGAAAATGAATGAGGAAATGTAGATATCAAAGGTAAAGAATGAATCACCTTTGGCTTCTTTCTTTAATCTACTTTCCCCGTTTCATTCATTCATTCATTCATTCATTTAATAAATACCTATTGACCCACATCAAGTGATAAGCATTTTTCTACTGGGAGATTCAACAGTGAATACAAGAGAAAAATCTCTGCCTTCATCAAATTTATAATTTAAGAGTAGAGGGAGAAGAGAGCAAGTAAACAAGCAAAATCCTTACTATGTAAGACAGTTTAAAGTGATACAGAAAAAGTACAGCAGAGAAGGACTGGGAGGGCAGCAAGGGCAGGTGCTGTGACTGGAAAGGCTCCACTGGTGAAGTGGAAACTGAATAGAAAGGGGAAGAACCAAGGCAGGGAGCCAGGCAGATGCCTGGGGTAAGAACCTGCCAGTCAGACAGAGCAAACCACAGGAACCTGGAACAGGAGGGCAGCAGGGGCCTGATGGAGGAACAGCAGAGCGGTTAATAAAGTCAGGGAGGTGGCCAGGCAGGAAGAGACAGATCACTCGGTCCTAGTAGATGATGAGGACTCTGGGTTTGTATTTGAGAGCTAGCAGGGGTGGAGGAGAATGGAAGTAGGAGTTTGTTTTGAGACCTGCTACGTTTGAATGTGAGCAGTTTTGAGCAGAGATACACACTGATGTAGATTTAAAAGTCTCCACTGGTTGTTGTGTTCAGAATAGATAATCTGGAAACAGATCAGAGTAGAGAAATCAGAAAGGGGGAGGCTGGAACAGTCCAGTAGAGAAAAAGGTGGAGACTGAGAGATGATCAGACAGATGGTAGATTCTGTAAAAGTAAAGCTGAGAGGATCTGTTGAGAGATTTTATGTGGGGTTTGAGAGATCTAAGATTCTTCAAGGATTCTGGCGTGAGCCACTGAAGGATGAAGTAGCAATTTAGAGATGGAGAAGTCAGTGGCTTGATTTTGTATCTGTGGAGTCTCAACTGTCTACAAGACATCCACACAAAGGTGGCCCAGTGGCTGGATATAAAGGATTAGAGTGCAGTCGGAGTAGGGATCTATATTTGGGAGTCACCAGCATAGCACTTAATACTAGAGAGGAATATTCTTAGAAATGAGGACAGAGAAGTCTTGGGGTTCTATGCCAATAAAAGGTCAGGAGGTGAGGAGAAGCCTCACAAAGAGGCCAAAGGATGAGCTGGAGAAGCAAGAACAAATCCAGGAGAATGTGTCCTGGAAGCCAAGAAAAAAAACGCTAACAGGCCAGGTCAAATGAGGAT